ATCCCTCAATCAGAATGGACAACCAGAGAAGATCATCAACCGAGGGGACGCCGTCATCAAGTCCCTCCTTCCTTTTCTTTCTCTTATCAAATTTAACTCTCATCACCATATGTTGTCCATCCATAGGCCAGTGATCGGAAGGATTAAGCACTTACCTTGTAGTCCGGAGATCCTCGGTTCGAATACACTTAGGCGTGGACGACCTCGCGGTATACTCAGCCCAAGTGCGACTGGTGGTGGTCGCGTGGAAGCGAAGCGTTGGTGTACTGCTGATGTCTTGCTTTACTTATCAATGGGCTAACAATGACTTCGCAACTAATGCCAATGTTGTATCTACAGCACCCTACACACACTAGCTAAATGGACGTTCGCACTCTACGTTAGCTCAGTGAACGGATAGATCCCGTTCACTCGGAGTCCGTCTGTTGCTTCTGGAAACGAGACAGCAGAGTCGTCATGAATAATCGACTAGATGGCGCAGAATCTGTTGACAACGGCGCACTCTTCGCACCTTTGGTACTAACGGGCCGAACAGTAGCAGCACCAACGGTGTCCATATTGCAATCAATAGAGATAATGAACGCAATCTATTAAAACGGGCCTCAGTAAAAGGTCGTATGAATGCGGTCTAATTTGGAGCCTCCATAGGAGCTAATGGGCACCGTTTAGACACAAGCAGTCTTTGGTTTCTTTGATGCGTGCACCCAACAAATGGAGACCTGAGGCCACAAAAAATGAATTCCATCAGTAACCATCATGACAAAGACTATAGCTACAGCAATTGTTGCTAGTGACCTGAATGCTCGAATGGGTCGTGCATTTTATCCCGAACAAAGACCAGGAGGGAGCTTCGACATGTGTGCTTAACGGATAGATAAAAGTGGTCAATTTTTTAAACAGGTGTCGATTGCGATTCAACACAATGATTTACAGCATCCAACCTGACACTCATGGAATGAAACGATGCAACTGATCTAATATGACCGTGTATGATATAAATCAGGTCGTCGGTAGATCTGGAGCGTACAGCTGGATAAGAATCGCGCCTTGGGGAACGTATGACACTTATTTGCCAGAGCTATGCGGAGTACCCAAACACGTCACTTTGATTCACGGGAGTGAGATTTGGTAGCTTCGACCTGGAGTTATAAAGATCGTTGAGTTTCGTTGACTTTGGAGCATAGCTTTTGTCGAGTGACACAATTGTAAAGGCGAATACTAGACAATGATGATCGGGCCATTTCTGTAGATCAAAAAGTGAGACCGAGCAAGTCGCGTTCACTCTGATCAGTTGTATGCACACTTACTCATCAGGTATGCAGAAGTGATCTTTCTAGTCTGCAGGATATACGATGGCGCTGTCCTGGAGAGAGGGAAGAAATTAGCAACAGGAAGGCGTACCGTACCGATGCTTCGCTGCCACGCGATTAAGAAGAGTCGCGCTAGGACTGGTTATACCGCGAGATGGCGGATTCGAACCGGTGACCTCCAAATTACAACAACCGCCGTAATGCTTTCGACTACCGGCCGAGTTGGGCAATTTTGCTGCAAAGGTTTCGTCAGTAGTCGATGTGACATCGTCAACGTTTCACTGCGCAGTGGGCAATTTCTCTGTATGGATCAACGGCTCTTGATCGAGGAGCAGGTGAGGTTTAAACTTATAAGCCCCGTGACCTTTGCTCTTCCGTTGTTCCGTCGCCGCTTCTTTTCGCATCATGCTGTGGTACATGATTCACAAATTATTTATTTCTCAGTTGTTGTTACCCGGATCTGGGTTAAGGTGCAGGTTTTTTTAGTTTGCTGTAGAGAAGCAAGTTTCGAGAAAATTTCTCCTTTTTATTATATTTCCTGACATTACAGCCTCCGTTTCGTTCCAGTCAAAATCGTGTCTGTGACGTACGCTGAGATCAACAATGACGCGTAATGGCGTCGGCAAATCCGTAAGTGTTCTTGTGACCTTGCAGGTAATGTCTTCTCTGTTTGACCCACATAGAGTTTCTCGTAATTTCGACACTATCTTGTAAACGACATTATGGCGTTGGGGTGCTTTGATCTTTCCTGTCGATCTAGACGGGGTTCCTTTTACAGGATGGCTGTCGGTGAAAAAGTATCAACTGTACGCCGTAAAGGCGCTTCGCTGCTGCGTGACCACCACCAGTTGCGCGTGGGCTGAGTATCTCGCAAGGACGCCCGCCTTTACGCGGATTCGAACCGGTGACCTTGTGATTGCAAGCCAATCGTGCAGATCACTCGGCCACCGGCAGAGTGAGATGCTATCAGATGATGAGAATTAAGGAGTCTGGCGGTTATTTCCGATAACTTCTTGACATACAGCAAAGTGATCCATTGAATCGTTGTTGGTTTAGGTGCGGCATTTGCAGTTTTACAGTTTATTGGTCTTCGGATGAAACTGCAAGTGTATTTGTTGCATTTGAAGGAGGTAAATATATGGCTTTATCCGTTCTTCCGCGGTATAGCAGTGTAGTTCCACTTGGCAATAATTTGGATGATTAGTGTCAAGATTTAGCATTTGGTCAGTATATGCGCCTTTTCTGTAGACTAATGTTTGTAGTTCTCCGTACATTGTCCTGATAACCAGTACGTCCAAGAAAGGTACAGACCACCTGAGCATGCCCAGAAAAGATACCGACTTCCACTATATCCTGATCACCATGTTAGGGTGACCGTTTTATTCTTTATTGCTTAAACATAGCTGATGAGAAGACACGAAATACTTGAATTCAGTTAATTCTGTTAAAATGTCGTTTATCCTTGTTATTTGAGCATTGCTTAAACGTTCAACGTGTAAACCTTATGGATTCATATCTATCTATGTTGACCAATTTGATCCAGTCCCTCAACTAGGGTCAACTTACGGTGGTTTTAATGTAATTGGTTTCGATTTCTGATTCAATAACGAAACCAATAACGCTCATTGCATTCCCCAGCAAGTTTTGTGTGGTCTGCAACAAAATTTGCCAGCCTGCGAAGCCAATAAAAATCTGACAAGTCAACCGAAGGTATAGGTATTGCGACCTATTGTAAGTTGGGTATTGTTGATGCGTCTTATCTAACATGAGGAGGTGAGTCCATGCGACCCACCCGCGGCTGGATAGAGACGCTACAGGACAGAGCAAGTAACCGAAGCCAGTGTCGCACTTGTTCTCGTCTCCCGTTCGATTACATACATTAAGTGTGGATGATACATGGGGTGGATTATGATGTTGCGCGGCGAAACCACGCTGAATATGTCATGGTAGTAAAACATTACACGATGGTTAACTAGTTGTGGGTGTGAGTGATGGGGTAAGTATAGGCACGTAATTTCTGGATATTTGTTCAAGGCAAATACGGGACAAACATCCTTCACTCTTCTCAGCATTATCTATCATTGGGGTGATTTCGGTAGCGAGGGATCCGTGTACAAATCAGATGAACTGCCGCAATTTGTATTCTATTCCACCCATTCTGATTCCTTTCAGCGATTAACACGGAAACCTGCGTGGGGGACTCGAGCCGCCCATCGAACCCATCAGACTGCAATCGGAAATGTGAATACACTGTGTTCATTAACGCGTCACCGCATTACAGGAGGAGAGTGCAATACACGGTGGGGAGAAAAGACTCGGAAGAACTGATGGGTCTCTCGCTGTGTAGCAATCTACAGAAGCACGCCGAAAGTGCAATAAAGGAGGAACTAACTCTCGCACGGAGGTGGCACGTACACCGAACAGTCTTGGTGATGTAACGAAACGAAAGTCTTGTAAAACAGAAAGCTATGCTTCGGACTCTGATCAGTCAAAATGTGGGCACAGAGCCTGTAGCAAGTCAACAAAAATATGCAGTCTATCCTAGTATAGAAATATGTTGAAAAACATTATAATAGTAACTGGATCGAGAAATCTACAGAAGTTAGTCCAATGTGAGTGTTGCCATGCAAATAACTGGGGTCAGGTTTAGCTGTGACGTGTATCCACTGCTTGATGTGAAAGCCCCTAGTCTTCCACTTACTTCCAGGGTGGTGGTAGAGCACTTTGCTATATAATGGTGAGAGAATGGAACGCGATCATGGATAGAGTGACTAAACGATAACCATCTATCCGTCTTCATTGGCACAAGCACCGTGGCACTTCACTAAGTCACTCGAATTCTTCCCCAAAAGATCCGGGGATCAACAGTGGTGATGTTAATTCACTAGTAGCCTTAATTTATAGAAATGCGACAGACCAATGGTGGTAAGAGCTGTAAGCCATGCCAAAGCAGCGGGATCAAAAGAGAGACCACTTACCGATCTGAAGAGCAGTTTGCAGTATCGGTTGGCAAGAGGAGAAGGTAGAAAGCAACAAGCATGAGATGTCAATAACAGTGCGGGTTGTATTTATGGTTGAGTTTTAGAGTGCCCACGCTGTGCCTGGATCTCAAGCTTCAAACTCAATTGAGACCACAATGTACTTTGAAGTGAATCTCGGTCATTTCGATTCACAGGACCGCATTCGAAGCGGAGTTCCGATGTTGCTCGCTTTCAACACTGCACTCCCGGACTGTGTTTGTCCTTGTTTGGGCACTTTAGGATAAATATGCCTGAAGCTGAGAGTGGAATACAGCAGGTATTGGTCTACGGCTGACGCCTTGGCACCTATACCATTGTGCTCCGTACGCGAAGCGTTAACCCTACACCACTGCCTGCTGTATTCCACTCTTGACTACAGGTATCTTTATCCTAAAGAGCCCAAACAAAGACGAAAATAGTCCGAGAGTGCAATGTCGGTAACGAGTAACACCAAAGCTAGACCCTATGGGGTACTACTGTGGCAAGAAGCGAAAGATGTAAATATCCAAGACGATCGATTTATACTATTTTCCACACCAAGTAAACAAGACAAAAGGCTTCAGTTGCGTCGAAGTCGGGCCGCAACTAGATTCAGTTTCGCTCCTCTGTAGGAAACAGTACAAGGATGCTAAATCAGATAAACAGTAAAAAAGCTGTATGGACCACTCACTTGCAAGCAAAGCTGCTGATGGTCTTCAAAGAACTTGGCCTTCTGAAATCGCTTACCACAGTGCGCACAACGCATGCAGAGGGGTGTTCGGAGGTTAGCAATGGAATGTCGACCGTTCGGCTTCACTTCTGTAGCATCCGTGTGTTCGAGCTCTTGCTCCTCTACATGGAGCAGGAAGAGAGCAGCTTTGGGTCGCGAATGGCCAGCACTAGATGTGGGAGTGTTGTCTGAGCCGTGGTACTCAACCGACTCTGACGGGGTCGGTAAAACGGTATCACCACGCAGTGAAGTGGGTGTGAGCCCCTTCGCAGAGCACTGAGCCGCCGAAGCCAGGAATTCATCATGAAAGCGAACCAGGTGATGACGCAAGCGAGTCAGGGTGCGACACCGTAGTGTGCAAACAGGACAGCTGGAACACGCAGCAAAATGGAGGAATGCTACAACCTTATAAGTGACAAGAAAAGAGCTCACTCATATGTAGTTAAACAACAACTAGTCAGCACAGTGGTCTAAACTCAACATCAGAATAGGACATCCACAAAACTCCGCATGCATGGCCGTTATCTTGTGGAACAAGGTATAACGATTGCTTAGTAAGCGGTCGGCCAGGTGGAATGCGGTTCAGATGTGTGGTCGATGCGAATAAAACAGTAAGAGTGAGGGAGCAAGCCATTCTGAGGATGCGCAATGAGAAGTATGTAGAAGGGAAGAGCGATAAACCAATACCAAGAAGATTTAAAGGAGAGTACGGAGAAAAAACGTTTCAAATCCATGATCTATACGAACATTGAGTAGATGGGACCTGCTAAAATGATGACGATCTACTGTTTATGAAATGCTGAGATAAAAACAAATGGGGTCGACCCAAAAAGATAAGAACCCAGCCGAAACGTGCACCTCGACTAGCGGAAACATTGGTCTACTATTGGTGTCCGGAAACCCAGCTGGTTGCCAATGGGAGGTGTGCGACACGAAAAGATGGCAGTATCTTCCCAACTTACTTTCTATATTGTGAGTCAGATAATCAATAATTGTAAGAGTAACCTGCCCTAGAGGCTGCATCTGCCCTTTCCTCACTGTATTCACCGTCTGTATCTGGGCCTTGTGATTCTCAACCTTCTATAAGGTTTTCAACAAAAACCCCAGCATATACATACCAATTTCTTTACTTTTAATTAATGCGAGATCTATTAAGAATAAGCTTCACTTTCTAAACACGAATGCGTAGTTGAACATATGAAGCATAACCTTCGTCAATGAAATATGGCGTTCTACTAACACGTCAGATTCAACGCTAGTGATCCCCAACTACCATTTCGTAAAGACATGGAGGCGGATGCACTCTATATCTCCATCGAGCATTTATAGCGGTGTCTCTTGACCACGATGAACTAGAAAACGTCCCTGAACGTCTGTGGTTTTTTTTGTTACAGCATATGGTTCTCGGTTGCATCTATAACCCTTCGAATGCCGTAACTGGTGACGTTAATACTATCTGTTCTGCAATACATTTTGCATCAGTGCTGCAGTACAAACAAAATAATAACTGGAAAGTTCAACTTCCCGAAAATATCTTGGCCAATAAATTCGTCTTCGCTAGCAAACATAGAATTCCTGTCTACTGGTATGGCTAGAGGATGGACAGAATGGGTTACAAAGCATACTAGGTCAACCAACATGATCGACTTAATACTCACACTGGGAAACTTCGATCTGTTGGACGGTCTCCCTGGTAGTGACCAATTTATCTTCGGTATCAGAATAAATGGCAATCTGGGGGCGTTCCCGCAATATTTCACCCATGGAATTAATTAGATACATCCCCCAGAGATGCATTTTTTACCCACCAATGTTTGTGTAACAGTGACACAGTTCTATACCAAGTCATAGTCCATCTCGCTCCACAAAAGAACGCCTACTCACTCTGAAGGAGCGAAAATTGCTAGCAAGATTTCACAGGATCGGAGACTTTCAGCAGTATGACAAGTGCATAGATAGACCACTGGGGTCAAACATGCACAAGTATTGTCACTCAAAAGTGAGAAAGAAAATGATCTACAAACGGGTTGCAAAATAAGGAAACGTGTTGATATACTCCGTCAAAGAACGAACAATAACTCCTACACTTTCACGCGGCTCTTGGATGGACGTGGTGAACTCTTTGGTGACTCACTTGCCATTTGTGAGGCGTTCAGTACCTTCTTTACTACCTCTATGAGTATTGAAATTGACTCCATACTTGAATGCCCCCGATCCATAACGACCAAAGCCTACGCTATGCCAAAATTTGTCTCAACAGTATTCAGTAGCTAATGGAAACCATTAAGCCTTCTCTCTGGTTGGACTCAGACGGCGTCCCTTTAACTGCCAGTCGAAGGGAAGAACCCGACTTACCACTGCTTTTGTTGAATATGCTCATTTGATTGCTAAGAACTAGCTATGTTCCTGATCAACTTCATTAACGCGCACCATAAAAGTGGTCCCAAAACCAAAAGTTACCAATTACCGACCGATTCATCCTGCTCCCACAATCATCCTTCTGGCTGAAAGATTAATCAAGAAAACGTTGTTGGAATTCCGTAATTTTGTGCAACCACAACTGTCGAGACTTATGGAGACTTGTAAAGCAGCTATACGGTCAAAGCTCCAATAAGCGGATTGGACCTGTGGATGGAGAGAAATACAATTTTGAGTTCTGTTCTTCACATGAAGCAGCCACAACCTCTTCCTTGTCTCTACCTTTGTTCTCTGGCTCTGGTTCAAATATTACATTACAACACGTTGAAGTGAATCGTGAACTCAGGAATCTGAACTCAAGGAAGGCTACTGGACCAGATGCTCTTTCCCCAGGTGTCTTGAAAGTGTGTGCTAATACCCTCACCTTGCTCTTGACGGATTTTTTAAATCGGTGCCTACACAGCGGGATCATTCCCGACATTTGAAGGCCTGTCAGGATAACGCCCGTGCCAAAAAAGGGATCCACGAAATTCCGTCCGATCGCCTGTACATCGGTCAAGCTGAGTCTTGGAACGACTACTTGTGCCTTGGACCTGAACAAGCACTCTAGCCATGGACGTATCTCAGTTTGCATGCAGACCCCGAAATTGCACGTTGGATGCCATAGCACATCTTGTTTACTCTATAGCATCTTCATTGGAGGTGAAATGCAAGAGTGTGCGGCTCCTCTTCCTTGATTACGTCAACGCTTCTGGCAGTGTCAACAGATCAATCTTGCTTAACCAGCTGTTTGCGAATGGTGTCCAAGCAACAGTGGACAACCTGATGGGCAGCTACTTCGTAAACCGAACTCACTTTACCCAGCTAAACGGCGAAAAGTTCCACAGTTTAACTGAGGACTGGGGCGTCTTACAAGGAGCAATCCTCTCCCCTCTTCTTTTCTCTCTATACATCAAAATGTTTCCAATTCCTCCCAACTCTGTTGAATGTAATTACGCTGACGACGTAGCCTTAGTAGCACTGTTTCAACTGCTGAATCATCAACGGCTCTGTAAATCGGTCTGGACAAGCTTCAACAGTGGTCGGCATTCCGATCTCTTACTCTCAACGCTTGCAAATGCCGCGATGAAACATTCGTTTTTCTCCGCACTGGCAAATATCTGACTGTGGAAAAATTTCTCCCCCCCCCATGGTCGTAGGCGAGCACAACATATCCAGTTCGTCCATTGCTAAGTACCTTGGTGTATATTTATCTCACAATCTGCCTTGGTCAACACACGTTGACGAAACGTTCCGCAAGGTGCGGAAAGTAGCATTCTATGCCCTCAAAATGTTTTCAGTACTTTGCTCTTTGATTTACAAATTCGTGACTGCCTGTATGCTTCCCCATTGGTTATATTGCTCGCAGATCGTTTCTCTTGGTCTTTTACAATAAGCCTTCACATTTCCAAGTGTAGTGGATTATCCATAGAGTCTCTGGTTGACTACATCGTTATTAAGCACTTTAGCGCATGTGACAACATTTCAGAAAATGTTTTAAATGACTCTTTTCATCCCCTTCACGCCGATTTATCTAAAGCGCTCTCCTGCTCGTCTACTCGCGCTAGACGTAGGAGTCAGTTTTCTCGCATAACACGTTATCACAACTAGCCTACCATATGTATCCCGTTTTCTTGTAGACTCCAAGAAACTTATCAGCGCCACCCGTGAACGTCTACTTGAGTGATGTGCATGCATGTTTTCTTTTTTTACACTTCTACTGCAATTCCATGCTTATGTTATGCCACACTACATCCTCAGTGTTAGTGTAAAAATGTTGAAAATGTTCCCAGTTGGGTTCATAAAGCCTATTTTGACTCGACTTGGCTTGATCTGTCTGACACATCACAAATTGATTTCGTAGGCAGATGTTCCTGCACGACCTGCCGACTGCACTGCATTAATTACACTACGGAATCCATAAACATCGGTTTTGCAATCATATTTTCATTTGTGGAGTAAAAAACAGTTGACAGTGTACCTCACAAACGGTTGTTGAAAAGTGTAGAATCCCTTTGAGTCCGCAAACCGCTTTAAAACTGGCTTTCCTCTTACCTTAACAATCAATTTCAAATAGCCACTATGAGCGACAAGCAATCTTCCCCATGAGTGTGGGTCACCCAGATCCAATGCTCTGACCTTTTAGTAGATTTTCCATCACCATCTGCTGCGCTTGGACTCGTTCAACTCGGATCCACTAGTGCTACCTAACGGAACTGGCATCAAAGCTTTATTCTCCCTTCCTCACTTCTGAAGTTCTGGCAGAAGCTTTGCCGAATCGCACACGCTAAAACACCACATTCTTTGTGGGCAAACAGAGACATGTACACTCGTTCGAGAGCACGATTTAAGAGCTCCCTATCCACATCTAGCTGGCAGGTAGCCAGCCATAAGCCGAGTATTGCCAAGCTCGGTTTCTCTTGATCAAGATGCAAAGTTGGTTGCAGGAGATCACATGGAAAATAGCAAAATCAGGCTCATGAGAGCTGCCGAAAGTTAAGATCACGGTTGCACTGCTTAACCAGACACCTGAAGTTGTTACGAAAATCGACAATCTAGAAAAGGAGATAACCGTATTAAATGAAAAGCTTAAAATTGGTAGACAAACTGGCCTGAATATCATACTTAATGAATATGCATGATAAATCTAATGCAAATCACATACAAGCAGCAGCATTTTTGCGTCGCTCACCACGGAAATTCGTGAAAGGATAAATAGGGTTAGAAATGTTGTCATCTTGAATATACCAGATAAAATACACGTGGAAGCCATGAAGCGTATTTTGCTCTATGCGTGTAGCATGAGTGGATCAAATTGTTACCTTATACGCCTAAGAAAAGTAAACTTTAAGTACGCGTGTCCATTCCTATTAAAGTTTACAGAAGAAACTCATGCACAACAAATTCACGACAGAAAGAGTTTAAATGCTACCAACACTGACGTCAAGTGTTTCATGATCAAAATTGAGCAAAAGCCTCTTCACAGGGAAATAAGGGTACAGCATGTCCAACCTGATGACAAGGCTGCTCCCTGTAATATTGTTAGTCACCAAAGTGATATGGAAGCCAACGACCAACCTCCTGTGGATTTAGACTCATCCCAGTGTTTTTAAAGTTTCAAGTTCAGATTGCTTTATGACTTCGACTTTGAAGTTAGTCTTGGAGAAGTCTTGCAAAGCTACTGGCCACAGTTACACTCTGGCAAACACAAAATTTTAAACATTGTAACAGAGAACGTTAACCCCTTAGCGACCACAGGAAGCAGCGAAGTACATTTTAGCATTCAGACGGCAGCTAACGGGAAAGATAACAGTGAAGACCGAATGAGGACCCCTAATCCAGAAATTGCATTCGAACATCAATATAAACTGAGAGCAAGTCGGAAACAAGACAAAGCTCCAGAGGCACTTAACAGCAACTCTGCTTTTTACTAGAAGAATCATGTGACTGATAGAAACCAGCCCAGAATCCCGTGCAGCTGATGTGTTCTCCGAGGAATACTTAATATACCAGATGCAAAAATATTTCCTCTAACGTCAGACATCAACCTCCGGTTATGAGTATAACACTTCCCTGCTTCCCTTCCGGAAACTTAGGGCAGTCCTTTAACCGTTACTCTGCAAAGCGTCAGAGGATTTCGACTCTAGCACCCAATTCGTCAACCGCCGTCTGCTACCACACCCACAAACATCCTAAACATAAATAAGTTCTCTTTGCTTATTGCTAAGTACCCTATAGCCGCAAAGTGTCACCCAATTAAACGTGCTAACATAATCCCTTTAGACGGATTACCACAGCACCGGGGCCGTACCCTGGCGCAAATAGACGGCCAAATATGGTAACCGAGGCAAGATGGAATGCATTCACATTGGCCAAGGCCAAGACTCCGATGACGGATTCAAATTCCCACAATTAGAAATTTGGTTGACCTATAAATATAACCGCCTGTTTTCACAGAATACACAGCATCTATCGAGTCTTGGCTTTTGGTTTACCACGGATTGGGAACCAGGCAGAACGGATCATAGGCAGCAGTATCGCAAGCAAAGCAGTAAGACAGTAGCTCGACATGGGTGAACGGCCTAAGTTCACTATAAAGCCAGACCATAACCTAACCAATAAATGTCAATTACTGCAAACGCTCGACCAGAGGTGCTATCAGTCAAGAATACTGCACCACCTTGAGGATCGCTAGTGGATCCCCCCGCCCCAAATACTCTGAGAGATGCCTCTCTGTGCATGGATTAAACCAGGTGGGTGAAAACCACAAGAATATATCAGCCCCAACAAACCACTGTCAATTTACTCCTATGTTCTCCACTGGAAGACAAATTTTTTTTACGTAGACCACACCCAGCCACAGGGTTTTTTCTTAAATCCCACGATGGTCGCTTAAATAGTATATTATGTAAATCCATGGATTATCCCTTTTATGATGTTATACTCAAACTGGTGCTCATCAATGTTTGTTCTCTAGTACATAAAATGCATTTTCTCCGCTGCTTCGTCACCTTTCGTCAACCCCACACCCTACTTATGACCGAAACATGGTGTACGAGTGAGGATGCGGACCATCTCATTGATATCCAAGGATATAACTTCGTTAGAAAGGACTGCTGTCATAGTAGGAGAGGTGGTTGCATCATTTAATGTATGAACAATGTAATTGCATCACAATGTAGTGATGAACAATTCTTATCCATCGAAAAGTCCATTTGAATAACAGTGTCTTAGAGAGAATGCTGGTTGGTTGGAATTATCACCGAAAGCTTGCGCCCTTGAAAGCGGATTTCTTCAAAATACGATGAGGCATGCCTCTACATTTCCAGTTGGAGGAGATTTCAATTTACGAAACATTACATGGATCGAATGAGAAGGTACAGGGAAGCAAGCCAAAATCTTGAAGTGCCTGTTTGAGGGAGGCTGGACACAGTAACACCTCCCATACGGTTCATTATACACTCCATCTCATATTCACTGCTGGACAAATGATTGCTGTAATCGACGAACCAAACTGTCTACTCGGTAGTGACCATAATGTTGCCAGTTTAAAAATGAACATTTCATATACACCTATGGTCCCGTTGGGACACGTGTGTAATTTTAGGAGAAGAAACTGGAGAAACTTTGCTACCCTTGTGCATACTTCTGACTGGACCGATTTCTTCCTGTCTTCTAATTCAAAGTGTCTTTTCAAGCATCTTACGAGAACATACATCGACACAACGAAACCTTGTCGCTGCTTTAACTTGCATTCGAAATAAATCGTAATTAAAGGGCAAACAAGGCGAAGGTAAGATTAGAGTTCTTTCTAAACAGTTTCAACAAACGAATAACTTTACAGCACCATGCAGGTTTTAAAGGCTGTTAATAAAATATGAAGACCTGAGAATGCTTCGTCTGATAAAAATCACTAATACATTACGTGAAATAACAAGATTACTAAGAAAACGGAGTCGCACACAAGAAAACCCACAGCTACATCGTATCACGCCTGAGGGTGTCCTTATCGATACTTTTGCAGGTGCAGCTGAAACATTTAACAATTATTTTGCCGATTATTTTACTACTCTGAACCATACACCTTGGGACCACCACACACAGTACTGTGGGCCATGTATATCCACAGTAGAGTTCGACACTGGTTCCATCAAGCGTCAAATAAACATTTTAGAGATTACATCTCATCCAGATCTAGATGGAATCCCTCCAGTGTTTCTAAAATACAACAGAAGTGATGTCCCCTGTTTACTACCGAACTTGTTTATCACATTAATGACATCTGGGTTTTATCCCGATCATGGGAAACTGACGACAGTGACACTTCGCCATAAAACCGGGTATAGAGAAAAACGTTAAAACTATCGGTCCATATATCATACTGCTATAAGTTCCAGAATGATGGAGCGCCTTGTCAAAAATGAAATCGTTAAATCAGCAAACAATTTCCTGTCGCATTCACAGTATGGACTTCTTCAAAAGCGTTCAAGTGCTACTTGCCAACTAGATTTCTTTGATCACTTAATAAAATCGACAGACTCTGGTAAGGCATGTATCGTAGTTCACTCGATCTTTAAAAAGCATTCGGCAGAGTTTCACACAGAACGCTTAGACTTAAACTTCACGTTAGTGGAATCACAGGCTCACTACTCTTCTGGTTAGAAGTTTACCTCACTGGTCGAAAACAGATAAACATAGATGAGTATCAGTTGTAGACAAGTGATATCACTAGTGTACTCGGCCCTTTTATTTGTTGATAGATATGTCATCTTTCCCATGCAATATGATGAAAAAACAATGGTGTTGGGTCCGCATCACGGTTGCAAACAGAGCAAAAACCAAAGTAGTCAGAAGCAACCATAAGTGCATCGTATTATAAAGTATTGACTGTGGTGGTGAGGTCCGCACAGCAAAGAAAGGGAAGTTCAGCGCGTAAACATCATTGCAAAGAACGCGAAAGACTCAAAAGTGACCAGGCCGATAGATTATCTGAGGCTTTGGTCATTATTCACACGTAAACAAACAGACGAGTAAGTGACTTGATCAAGTCAGAGAAAAGTAGTCAATTCGCAGTGAGACTGGAGGTCAAACGTTTAGATATGTGTAAACAGAAGAAACATTTGTGGCGAAAGCGAAACTCACCGGAATGAGTATATAGAACAGTCCTTACGTAAACTACATAACGATAACAAGCGAATGCGCCTCCTCAGGAGGTGGGCCACTTTTGAATTGGCAGTTCTAAATACCGGACGCTGAGCGCCAGCGTGCCTCACGTCACTTCCATGAGCTGGACCACCACATCGAGGAGGCAATCCGCGCCGCCGAGGAAGCCAGTGTTGGACGTATTGTCGGATATCTGAAAACACGAAAAGACCTATGGGAATCGATGTCGCAGATACATGAATTCTAGTAAGAGAGGCTGCTCTGTGCACTATCACATATCAAAAAAGAGTTAATCAAAGTGGACGCGTTTAAAATGTGACATTTAGGCAAAAAGTGCAAGACAGCAATACGATAATGCCGTAATTTAATACGATAACGTGATGACACGGTGACAGGGTCAAGAAAAACGGGAGCTGAAACAAAAACAATGCTAAATTGAAATGTTAGATCCATTCAGATTTTCAATGGATCTAAGGCAGTTTTACCCGTCTCTAATTGAGTACTAATTGAAACACATGGCCCAAGAACCGGCAGTGCATCCACCATATTTCTCTTCAAACAGTTTCTTGATGCGCTGGTCACCGCAGGGGATAATAAACGGTGCACTATCTGCTGAATCGAGCAGAGTGGATAGTGTTTGGATGCCACTGCTCAAGCCTGCCCATCTTCGAATCCCCCTCTTACGCTCTTTCTCTCTTACCGTCCCGTTCTAGCTTCACTTTTATCCCCCCAAGATTTACGACCCAAAATTCTTGGCCCTCCCTCACCTTGCATTGCTACGCTTTTACTTTCTAGTTCCAACTCACATGTGAACGCGTGCGTCACTCCTGTCCTCTCGACAAAGCCATGTCCAACCAAGCGATCCACTATAGCTCATAAGCTTCCATTTGGAGCCCTCGATCCTCCGTCAGATTGGCATGCCTCAATGTACGCACACTGCTACAGATCGGTCAACAGGCTGCACTTGTCCGAACATTAGAGACCCTCTCCATCGATATGTGCTGCTTACCGGAGACCTGCCTGCAAGACTCGAGCTATGTCCTCACTCTACGATCCCCTTCAGGTGACACCAGCAGCACTTTCTCATTGCGCCTATCCGGTGACGATGCAGTTTCGAGCATTGGCCAAGCTGGTGTTGGTATTGCCCTGAGTCCCCGGGCTGAAGCTGCTCTAGTTGCTTGGATCCCACTCAGTAGACAGTTATGTGCGGTCCGATTGGCTGGTTCGTTTGAAGCTTCGAAGTTGCGTGGGACTAACAGGTGTCTATTCGTCATCGCCGCCTACGCACCCACAAACTCTAGCGATGATTCGGTAAAGGACTACTTCTATCGCCAACTGAACGAGTTGCTTCGCCACAAAAGCAGCTCGGACACTGGTGAGATGGCGGGAGATCTGAACGTTGAAGTTGGAAAATTATCCCCTGATGAACTGCATCTGGGCGGCCAACATGGTGTAGGCTTCCGTAATGATAACGGTGAGCGGTCACTTCATTTGTGTGAGGATGCTCGCTTATTTCTTGTGAGCACTAATTTTCGACACAGCACCCGCCGGAGGGTGACTTGACGCCCACCAGCCTCGAACCAGCTATGGACGCAAATCGATCACATTGCGATAAGTTACCGATGGAGAGGCTGCGTCCAGAACTGTCGCTCGATTTGGAGCACAGGTGTGGACACCGACCATGCACTTATATGTGCTGACCTGCGGATGCGTTTGGGCAGACGCCCCAGATGACGTTGTGAGCATTGAGACCAGCCAACTGGCGAAACCAGCTGTTCTGAATGCCTATCAAATTACGCTGTCATGCGAGTTGAGTAAGCGTTCAGTGGTCTCATATTCACCAGTCCTTACTAGCAGCAGGAAAATCCTCATGTGGTAAGTCTAATCGTCAACATGGACATTGGATCTCTTCGCAGACTCCGGAACTTATCGATGCTCGCCAGCATATTCCGGCTGGAAACGAACACAATGAAACTCGCAAAGAATTCCGGGAAAAACTTCGTGCTAGCCAGAAGAGAGACCGCGAATCCTGTGGTCTCATCGTGCATCAGAGATGGAAATGATTGCTCCCCTTGGTAACCATCGTAAGTTATTTCGGCTGATAGGGGAAACGGGCAGCAGGAGACCTGGTGTTAGTGAAACTAATCGTGACGAGAATGGACAGCCTATACACCACTTGTCAAAAGGTTTGCAGCGTTGGACTGAGCACTTTGAAATGCAATTACATAGGTCGGAATTGTTAGATTTCTCGCCGGCCACTGATCGTTCCGCTGCGTGGGATGTCCCATTGAATCCGCCTTCTCGCTCAGAAGTAGAACGTGAGATCGCCCTTTTGAAGTTAAATAAAGCCGCGGGACCAGATGATCTACCTCCACCCTCTACAAATTCGGCGGACCTGCTCTTGTGGATGATTTATACGAATTACTAGTGAAACTGTGGGAGCAGGAAACTTGCCCAACCGATTGGAGCCGCTCCGTCATAGTCTCAAGTTTCAAAGGAGGCTCACAATCAGAATGCGGAAACCATAGAGGAATCAGTCTGACCTCCATCGCCTCCAAATTACTCGCCTCTGTCATCCTTCACAGACTGACTACCACTTGTGAAAACCATATTCGTGAAGAGCAAGCCGGGTTTCCTCAACGTCGTGGCTGCATTGACAACATCTTCACTTCGTGCCATTGTTGCAGCACCGTCACATATATTGGCGGCCCACCGTTGTCGTGTTCCACGATATAGGTGTATACGATTCGGTGGATAGACGTGAACTTTGGGACTGTCTACTCAGGAAAGGTGTACCTGAGAAATTTGTAAATATTATCCGAGCATTCTACACGTGTAGCTCAAACAGTGTGAAGCCTTACGGCAAGTTGCCGCGGCCATTCAGCAACTCCAGAGAGGTGAGACAAGAATGCCCGCTGTCACCTTTCCTCCTCAACTTCGATATTGACGACGTCATGGAAATCGCGTTCACAGGACATGACTTAGGTGTGGATCTGCTCCAGGAGAACGACTTCTTGACTTGGAGTATGCTGACGATATTGCGCTAATCTGTGACAGCTCCCAGACGTGCCAAGCGGCAATGGACAGATTAGCACTGGCTGTCCATCACTTCGGGCTTTGCTTCGCACCCTCGAAGTGCAAAGCGTTCCTCCAAGATTGGCAGATTCGCTGACCCTTGGTGGGGATCAGCTAGACGTCGTTCAGAAATTCAACTACCTGGGAAGTTGTATCAGCGCCCTCTGGATCGAAAACGAGAACACGAACCGTATAGCAAAAGCTCGAAGTGCTTTTGCTAACCTTCGCCACTTATGGCGCCGGCGCAACATCACCCTCGCCCTGAAGGGTAGAGTGTACAATGCAACGGTACGTTCGACTCCATTGTACGGTTGTGAAACCTGGCCCCTTAGATCAGCGGACCTAAAGAGGCTAGTTACGTTCCACCACCGGTGTCTTCGCAATTTAGCTCACGTCTGGTGGGAACATCGCGTGAGCAACGAGCGTATTCGACGCCTTGTTTACGGCACAGGACAAGAAAATGAACCACTCAGCACCGTTATTTCACGAACCAGGCTCCGATGGCTGGGCCACGTGTTACGCATGCCAGCCCACCGACTTCCGCGAGGTGCATTGTTTGCGCGCCGGGGGTGTGGATAGAAGAAGAGGAGAGGTGGCCAAGCGATGACTTCGTCGAGGGGAATGAAGTCCCTCACTTCGAAGCTGGCCTCAGTTGGAGCGTTACGGCTCCCTGGTTGGGGTCTGAAAGAGGATGAACACGTTTGGCTGGATACACTTGTTGATATGGCCAGGAGCCGACCTCAGTGGCGTTCGTGCTGCGAGTTTCTTTGTCCCACCCCATCCCTCTTAGCCTCCCCCTCCAACCACGATCTCATTATTTAGCATTTTATAATTTTGCAAAGGAAATTATTTTGGTTTTCTGCTGCATAGTAGTCGGTAAGTAGCTTGCCGGGAAGATGTTCTTTCATTACCAGGAGCTCAGCTGGCTTGCACCTGTTGCATTTTACTCCCTTTTTTCTTTTAGGTCTTGCGGCACAGTGGCTGAGGTGTTTCCCACCTCTAGTTAACGTGTACAGTGTGTTTGTGTATTTACTCGTTGTTCTCATGTCGCAGAGAAGCGCCTTTGTAGCGCGGCACTAACAAAATGGCAGTCTGGTTTCCTGTACAACTTGATTTATATGCGGGAAGGAGCCACAGTGACAAAATACTGCACCATTGATCCCCTAACCTCCGAACATTTGCCAATTTGGTCCGCACTTTGACAGACGTTTGATGTCTAACCCACTTCCCCGCACATGCCCGTCATTGGTTACGTAATGCAATCGCGAGTACTGGCGAAAAGAGCTTAAGACTGCACGTCGAAGGTGCTTAGCAGGGTTAAGTTGGTTCAAGATGGTCCAAGCACAGAAGTGTGGTCGATCCGGTTACCAGAACAAAGCAAAAAAATAGGATGACGAAGTCAACATTCGCCAGGATTAACTACCCTACTGCTAATTTGCAAATCAATCTTCGTCTTCGTACTGCGCTTTTCAAGTTACTAAAGGGAACTGGTTGTTTCAAATTTGCAAGCAGTTTGTATTACTCTTAGGTTTTTGATCCTTGTTGCAGTTGGCCAAACAGACACGTCACTGATTATGCCAGAATTAGGTTAAGTCCCAAAACTGGTCCCTCTGTTATTGCGGGAAAAAGAGATTCTCTTTCGGGTGTGAGGTGGAGCGCACTAAATTGCCAAATGTCCAACAGTAGATGTTGGTCTATCTCAATGCCTCACCCGGTCACATGGATGTGAACGACCGGTATGCATGCATCTGGGTACATGTGTACTTGCCAGGCTCGTCCATCGTGAAAACGCTGGATCATGCGCGGATGGTTGCTAGAGTCAACCTACGGCACGCCAAACGGCAAGTTCACCGATCGACACATACGGTGTGTCGGGTTGGTTGGAACGGAGGCAGGTGTGCAAAATCGAAACAACAGTGCCTCATTACCGAGCTACTGCGGTAGAATCGTGGTTGCGCTTGCGCAACCGTAACGCCTGAGCAAGGAGTGTGGAATAGGTGCTGTGTTATCCCAGCTAATGACTAAGGGACAAAAGTTATTTTTATATTCCCGTACCTCGTCGTATCGAAACTCTATACTGCCTTTTCAATCGCGCTTACTAATGCACACAACAGGAGT